AAAAATTGCTTATTAAGGTTCAATTAAATTACAAAGTTATAAAGTTTGAAAACCTTAATATTTTGCACATGATGGCATCTTATAATTTAAAATACGATTTTTTTTAAACGTTAGAATTTATTACAATGTTTACTACATACAACATTAAAATTTTATTTTCTTCTTTTAAAAAGATTATGATTTTCATACAAATCTCTTAAATAATTTCTTATTACCTAATTTAAGAGTTTGAAAAATACAAAATTTCTCACAAAATCACCTGACGCAAGGTAGGTAAGAATCGGGCAATTCTTCGAAATAAAAACGAACTTGAGAATCAGAGAGCGAATGTAATCGCGAACGTTTCCATTAAACATTCAACGAATAGTCGGAACAAGTTCACTTTTTCATTTATAAAGTAAACTGAGAATAGAACGGCCGGCTTATTTTGAGGCCGGAGCTCAAATATTAAAACGGAGTGTAATTCCCAAGTATCGGCCTCTGTTAGATTTAGAGTTATTTTCGAATATCGTTCCTTTTTTTAAAAATGGATGTTACCTTTTATATATATATATGTTGGTACTATATTGGGAATAAGGACACTTTACTTTTAAACTCTAACAGGTATAGCGACACAGACGTCTGATCAAGTAAATAAAAATAAATCAGCAAAACAGACACAGCCACTCTTCTGCTCCATATTCTATATAGAATTTCACTTATATTAAATCATATCGAAAATAGGAAATTTAAACCGTTAAAGTGTTCTTTTAAAGTGTACTACTCGCGTTAACTACAGTATTTAGGTACACTAAATTTAAAATAATTACCAGTTTTCATAAGGGCGACGCACGAACTAGAAGCCCATCGCCACTCTCCCTTTTATTCGTTGTGTTCCTGTTTGTATTTTTTTAATAAAAAAGGAAGAATTACTAGCAATAGTAGGATATAAATAAAAGTTCCTGCTACTTCATAATACACATCGTATTAAATGAAATTATGAAGGAATCGGATTTATAGCATCTGTTGGCTATCCAGTCTCCAACAAAAAGTAAAACTTGTGAAGATAAATCACTGAGCTGCGTCGCGTCGGCAGAACTTGCCTCAATTCTCTCAGTAATTAGTCCCAGAGTTAATCTTTCCAGTCACTATTATTCATTCGAGATGTAAGTGACCGCTTCCCGCGACTCCATCTATAAAGCTTTTATCAACATTCGAAGGGAAATTTAATCTAATAACCTAATCATTACCCACTTCTGGGCAAAGATACTTTAGAACCAATCATACCTCTCGAATAATGGGGGGTTGCAAAGTCAAGTCAAAAAAAATTACGTAGGTGACTGACTGACTTTCCGATGCATTATAGCAGCTCTGGTCTTGGTAAATATTTTACTAATTTCAAGTTCAAACCGCTGATAGTGTTTTATACCATTTATTGGATTTATATGATTATTATTTTCTTTGGAGATACCGATCGAAGGTCAGGTGATTATACACAATGTTGTCTATTTTATCTTCCTTGGTAAGAAATTTCGGTTCAATTTTTACGTTACAACAAAAAATTTACGGTATATTGTCAAAAAATATAAAGCAGCATTGCCTTCTATTAATTTTGCCACGACGCTTGTGTTTCACACTGTTATCTGACACATTTAAAAATAAGAAAATAAATTAATAAGCCCAATAGAAACATTACAAGGCTAACTGTACATACCTGTATTTCATGTTTTTGCGCTACAGAATGGTGAAAAAAAAGAAAAAAAATTAGAACGACCTATACACATTCTAAAGTAGAGTTAATTAAAGCAAGTCTATTGAGCTCTAAACAGTGGGCAGTATTGTTCGGTGGCTGCATTGCTGGCTGGCACCGACCCAAATCGGGGACAATCGAAGAGTTTAAGATAAAAATCTATTGTTTTGTGACCTCCGCGTTGTAGGATTTGCTTCGGACAAGACCACCTATATAGGCTCAGAATTTTTTAAGTCTTTTCAACGCGAGCCAAAGACTTTTAATTAATTTTAACTAAGTGGTACCTGCTAAATATTGATTCTTATGCCCTATATGATTTGCTATCACGAGTATATTATCATCAAGAAATGTAGCGCGTTTCACGATAAAGGGAAGGCGCTTTTCAAAATGGCCGCGAAACCCTTATACATTTTATTGCTTGTGTGTGTGTGTGAAATCCCGTTTCCCCTTCGCTTGGGGCGAACACATTTCTGTGTCCCTTTCAGTGATCCGTTCTTCAACGTGCAAGTACTTGATCAGACTTCTGTGCCCTGCCTTACTGAAACAATTTTTTGTTTCCCTGGCATTCGAACCCAGGACCTCTCGCGCTTAACGCAATGCTAGGCAATACGTTTAACCATTTGGCTACAGAGGCGGTCTTTTTTTATTTTATTGCTTAATAAAACAATATTCACCACTGTTTTTAGCAATGTTACATTTGGAGTAGAAATCACAATGCATTGAATTTTTCATATCATTACAATAACAAAGCTCTGACATCAATGTGATGTATCGATAATTTGGTACTGCCCTAAATACAATACAAGAACAAAACCCCGCCTAACAATGTCAAAATTCGTTAAGTTTAATAAGGCGACGAGAAAAAATTGTGGATTTTGCGATAAATCACGACGTTTTCCCGTTGAAATAGCCCTTCATTGTGTCATTGGCGAACGAATTTCGTGCTCCCAAATTAAATACACGATGTTTACATTGTGCTTCTCGACACATCAAAAAATATATTCGGCTTATGAGTTTTTTAGTACCAAAAACAAGCTTTCTTAATGGCTTTAAATACTTAAAGGCTTAAATAAGCAATTGTATTAAGCCTATTCTAAACTTGAAAAAAAATGAGTACATATACTTATTCCTTTAATAATTAATCTGTCGATATTGTGAAAAACATGAATTTATTAGAATAAAATAATTGATCGTAGAGCGAGTTTCGGAACCACAATCAACGACATATCCACAATTGTGCTAATATCTATTAAATATCTATACAATATCACTCGACTCACTAACCCTCTTTGCTATTCGATTTTCGAATTATCAATCTAAAATACTTTTCAACGTACACGCATGAGCAATACAAAAAAAAATTAATGCTACTTTACAAATTTAAATAAAACACTTTAACGGTTTAAAACGCTATATTTACTTTGACGTCAGCGACATCCTCCGTCTTTAGTCTCCCCGTGACCACAGCGACATCCTCCATCTTTAGTCTCCCCGTGACCATGGCTGCTGCAAAGCATCCGAACAGTCGGATCGTAGTTAAAAATAAGTATAACTAATATTTATAGCGTTTTAAACCGTGAATGTGTTTTATTTAAATACATTGTTGAGTTTAATCAGACTGGTACAGATACACAATATTTAAGTTGAGATATTGGAAGTTGTGTGGAATTTTCACGTGTCTGGTAACGAGCATAATTCCATTTCTCTCGTTGCCTGTCGCTAGTCACTGCTTCTGCACTGAATTGTCGATCACACGCCAGACGCATAAGAGTAAGAAACTGTTATCTGACAAATGGAATACATAGTGTCATCATGACATCTAAGCGCTATTACGCACTGTCGACTAGTGGAATGTAACTTACTATAGCTTAAATAGTTGCTTATGCACTTGGTTGTCAGTCACCCGGACATCACGGCCACTCACCGCGTAGAGGCGACGCTCACTTTGGTCGCCAAGAGACTGAGTCGCCGGCGACTGGTCACCAGTGCGTAATTAACGTAATTGAACGTCTATGAGGATATATAAGGTCAATAAGTCTAGTAATAGTCTATTTCTTTAACTTTCGGTTGTTCCTCCTTTTTAAAAAAAAATCTTATTTTCTACATAAATCGTCGGGAGATCTGATGATGGCGTCCGCTTGTGATGTTGAAACATCGAAAGCCTCTTCTAGCTTACGTCGGCCGCGCAGCCCGAAAAACAACGATAATGTTTCTAGTTATATATATCCATATGTTTCAGGATTTTCGAAACGGTATGTTACCACAGAGCAACCACGTGTTTCTAAGTCACGTTTACCACAAATTTCGCTCAGCGTCCTGTGACGTTTATACTAACACTGTATTTTTCTAATGTTTTCTGTATAAATCTTGTAAAACGGTGGCAATTTATTGTTTTTATTTGAATAATATTCTTATATCAGAGTTTATTAAATCTAAGTCAACGATCGTTTCTAGTTGGATATATTATTTACTATTTATCACACAGAACTGAAAGGTTAGGTTTGATTGTACTTATAGGATAGATTATGTAGTATCGTGTTATCTGTTATTACAACATTAAAAGTCCGGGGTTCGTTTGGAACGGGATAGAAAACTTAAACACCTACTTATTTTTAAATTGTATAAAGTTCAGCAGCCATTTTCCAAACCACCGTTTGTTTTCGACCTGCTCGGTCGTCGAAATTTAAATTTTCATTCAGAGTGAATCGTTCAAAACCCCGAAATACCCCCCTCAAAGTGAATCGTTCAAAACACCAAAATTACCCCCCCTAGGCTTAGATCTATTTTTTACTGTCTATAGTTTACGCGAGTAGTAAAATAATAAAAACTTTAACGGTTAAACACGATATATATTAGTTAAACTTATTTGCTGTGGTTTAATACTTTAACTGTTAAACACGATATATATTAGTTACACTTTATTGCCGTGGTCACCACGGCTGCTGCAAGCACGAAACGTCGTACCGATTAAAAATCATTTTCAAATAAGTGAATTAATATATCGCGTTTTAAACCGTTAAAGTGTTTTATTTAAAAGTAAAATTCTACTAATATGTACAACATACTTGGAGATGTGATTTACATTTTACTCAAGGAAGAATTATATAATTATTTTAAAATGCATTCGATCAACAATATAAATGCCACCGATTTCAGTCTTCTAACACACAAATAATGAACTATCCTAAGGAAGGAGAAATTTTCAAACATTATTAGTAAATTTATCGTTAAGGTATAATAAAAAGAAACAGGTTAGGAAATAATCTTATATTTATTGAGTTTCTCTTGGGATAAAATTAACATATATGTCATAGTCCGGTGCAAGGAAAAGACCTTTCTTCTCAAATTCCAGGTCTCTAGGTTTTGGTGATCCGGGGAGAGGACGAACTTCGTACTTCAGGAGGATAGCCGGGATAATTATTTGCATGTTCTGGATGGCGAAACGTTTTCCTGAAAAATATGCAACATTATGTTTAGAAGATGTTCTATAAAACATTCTTTGTTTAAGTTCACATACATACTCGTAAAATTTCAGTATAGTTCTTGTCATTCACACTTTTATGAGGAAGTAGCAATTTAAGTACGGGTTTTGGAATCGACAGCATTTTTTTATTATAAAGTAGTATACATGTGACAGAAGCCTACTCGAATAGACAAAAAGAATATATTAATAATAAAGGAAATTTACCAATGCAGTTTCTAGGCCCTTCCCCAAACGGCATATAAGTGAATGGTGTAATCATCTTCTCATTTTCAGGCATAAACCTTTCAGGATCAAAAATTTCTGGGTCGGGGAAGTATTGTGGGTCAAAGTGCATCCCAACTGCGTTCACATAAATGGGGGTGCCAGCTTTGATGGTCAATTTATCATCCACCTTGTAGTCTTCAGCCGCAATCCTATCAAGCCAGCCGAGTATTGGATATTTTCTTTCAGTCTCTGAAATAACATTACGCTTTAAAACACTGTTGATATTAGAAAATTGAAATTTAATTTAACTATGCGGATGTTTTCCAGCAGCCGAGGCAGCCATGGCCCGTGATTACGGCAAACATCCGAAACGACGGGCCGTAGTTGAAATCGTTTTCAAATAAGTTTTAAACCGTTAAAGTATTTTTAAGAGAAATATATCAATTTGATAGTGACATTTTTAATAAGCTGGCATCGTACTAATGTAGGATAAATTTACCTTTCAAGACAGCGTTGAGGTAAGACAGCTCCGAGAGTTTCTGGGAATCGATTTCGTCTCCATTACTAGCTTCCTTCGCTTCGAGCAATTCTTTATACAGCCTTTCCTGTACACAGTACGTATAAAGTTAATCTTTCTATAATGTAACATACATAAAGGATCAAAGAGGACATGCAACCTCTATTTCGTAGAAATTGATATTAGGGAAATCATTTAACAGCTTAAAATGCGATATATATTACTAAATCTCTTTTTAACTACGACTTTTAGTTTTCGATGCATTGTGATTTGATGTGCCTACGAGTGAGAGCATCCGAAAGGATTCACAGATATATTTTATAATAAACTTATATATTTCATGTTTAAATCGTTAAAAAATATTTTAATTAATGTATGTTTCTCATGTAAACTACTGAGAGTATTTAATTGTCAGTATTTATAACAGTTCATACGAGGTAGTCAAGTTTGATAGTATGTGTATTCATAAACCAATAAAACATAATATTTTCTCAAGCAAACTTAACCTTTTATCAAACTTTAAAACAGACTACTATTAAATACTGTCTAAAGTTTATTTATTTATTTATATATTCTTTATTGCACAAAAAATAGAAATATTACAAATTAAACCTATATACTAGAATGGAGAGCAATGGGCGGCCTTATCGCTAACAAGCGATCTCTTCCAGGCAACCTAAAGTTATGAAATGTTAAGAAAATGCATTCAAGGTAGGCGAAACAAATTAATACAAACAATAAATAATCAACGTGCAACGTTATACGTGAGTAGTACACATTTAAATAAAACATTTTAACGGCTTAAAACTTGATATATTAGTTAAACTTAATTGAAAATGATTTTTAACTTCGGTCCGACGTTTCGGATGCTTTGCAGCAGCCGTGGTCACAGGGAGACCGTTTTAAACCGTTAAAATGTTTTATGTAAACAGACTACGCTTATGAAAAACTACAAGTTCGATGACAATAAAAAAAAATACTTGAGGAATGATCAAACCGAAATAGAGTATGAATGAAATTACATTTTTTCTTTTGGATTTAAGAGTGTCTCTTACAACCCAAATAGGTTATTCATATGGCGTGGTCGATCGAACGAAAATGCACTTTGTAACCTGATAGTCCGGGTGGTGCGCGAGTTCGTATATCACAAAGGACATAGTGATGGCCGACGTGTCGAAGCCCGCTTGCAGGAAAATGGCCGCTTGCGATATTATCAGATCGTCAGAGAATACTGGAATTTTCAGATTTCCATACATAAATAAAAAATCGAATTTACATTGAAAAAAAAAATACGACGCGGGTAGGATTTGAACCGGCATCCACAGAGTTCCGTGCTGTTGCTCTAATCAAATGAGCTACCGTGCCCTAATTAGTTAGAGCAACAATAAAAGTTAAAATTAAGTGAAAATATTACAGTTTTCAAACTTTCATACATTGTCCATATAGATCACATAAAATCTATAAAAATATATATTTTATACTCAAGTGGGACTTGGGCATACCACAGTTACAAAATAATGTCGGAAATAAAAATAATGACTTTGGATTTTTTAAATCAAACCTAGGAGTGCTGAGAACAAATAGTGTGATGCTTTTTATATAATATATTTAGTATAAAAAGCTCAAAAATTTTAGTTAAGTTTATGTCATATAAAAACCCTTTTTGATTTTTTAAATAAAACACTTTAACGGTTTTAAACGCGATATATTAGTTAAACGGGTTTCCCCGTGACCACGGCTGCTGCAAAGCATCCGAAACGTCGGGCCGAAGTCAAAAACCATTTTCAAATAAGTTTGACTAATATATCGCGTTTTAAACCGTTAAAGTGTTTTATTTTAATGTGTGTGTAATATATCTATATAAAATAATAAATGTGTCGCGTAAACTATAGACAGTATTTACCATTTTTAAGTTTTAAGACAACTGAAAAATATAAAAAATATGTTTACCAGTTTTTCCGTCGCTGTTTTCTTGCTTAAGCTTGAGTAGTGCATCCAGTAGGTCCTTGGGCTCAGCTATTTTTTGAATACTCTCTTTGCGCTGTTCCACAACGTGCTGGAACACTCTCCTGAAGTAGTTTGTTGATGACTTCGGGAATAGAGAGAATCTGTAGAGGGACAGACACTTCCTAAAATATCTTTAAATCCAATCAAGTATTCCTACTAGCCCACAAAAATACAATAACATAAATAATAAGAGATGTATGTGTATCTGAAGGTAGGTACAACGCTGATATTCAGTGATGCCCCGTTTGACATTTGAAGTAGATCTAGATTTTTGTTTTACATTCAAACCACTCACAAAACATATAACAGATATAAAAAAAAAACATTAAAAAAGAAAACTACAAAAACAATTTTTTTATAGTTTTCGAATATCTTATATACGTAATATCTTATATACAAGCCAAAAAATTTAGATAGAATTATGATTAACAATAATTAAATAAACGTAATTGTCAATGTCACTTTTGCATATATGAACAAAACCTCACCCAAATACATCCACAAGGCTTGGACAGAAGAAGATGCTACTCCATGACAATCCTCGGTAGAAATCAAAAGTCTGGAACTGCAGAGTTACTTCCCTCATTGGGCTTTGCCCCGTGAGGGTCGCGTCTCCGGCCACGCCGAACGCTGCGGTGCTTATTATATCCGTTGTGATGTCAGAGAATATGAACTAAAACGTTATTGTAATACGTTTTTATTATGTTTATCAAATAATGCCTTTCATTTAATGGTAAGTATCTAATATTGAATGAGGTTCGATTCCTACCTTCACAAAAAAATTAAAATTATATCATCCTTAATGGCATTGTTTTATAAATAAATGTAATTAATATGAACAATATCGTTAACCTGAAAGATTAAGGGATTCGAAAATGGTAGAACGAAATACTTATAATACAATACGATGTCAATATAAACTATGTTAAATACAAACTCCTTGCTAATATATATAAAGACTAACGTTATGTTCAAATAAACGTAAAAATAACACTATCCATTCGACGAAAAGTTATAACATTAGCCGATGGGTATATAAAATAGAAAAAGAAATCGATTTCTACCATATGCTACACAAAAAACATATAATACGTATTATTAATTATACAAATTAAGAGTTACTATAAAAAATACAATAACTTAATCTTAATATTATAACTCGCAGAAGGCCAAATAAATTGACAATTTATAGAAATAGTGTAGTTACCCTGAGACTCAAATTGTCACTTTTCTCTCTACCAATCCGTGTCAATAATTCCTTAGTCTTGGATCTGATGAAAGGCTGCATGGATTTTAGTCTCGCGGATGTGAAAACGCCTGTTAATCGTCGTCTTACTTCTGTCCATATGGGATCCTGGAAATTGAATCTTAATTGTTTAAATTATATGGTAAGAATAAGTCAAGATCTTTCAGTAGATTACCTGAATGGTAAACATGAAAGAAATGCATACTCAACAGTATAAAACGTAAAAAATCTAACTAAGGCAACATAGCTCCGACGCGCCGTCCCGTTACTACATTTATCACAACAATATTCAACAAAATCTAGTCCTAATAACTGTTAATATATCGCGTTTTAAACCGTTAAAGTGTTTTATTTAAATGTTCTAAATATTTTTACTTCTAATACCCGTAAAAGACTAAAAGCAATTAACAAATTCTTACGACGTCATCAGCGTTTCAATTTTGCCAAACAAAGTCATTAGCGTTATTAACGGTAAAATTTGTGAAAAGGAACGACTAGGTACATACAACGTTGATTGAGCCGTCCCAAGTTTGAATCCTGGCAATCAATAATAATTATTTAATTACTCACATTGACAGTGAACAAGTTTAGAGCTCCTATAGGATCAGTAGAACCAGAACTGACAAATCTGTCTCTAAAGTTATAAGCATCCTTGACCAATACCCGCCGAGCGATTTCTGGTGAGTTAATGATGAGAGCTGGCCTCTGGAAGATCCAGATCCCGACGTATGGACTTTTGTATGTGTCATAGATTCTTCGCATCCACACAGCCTAAAGAATATCAACAGTTTATTAAAGGAGTATAGTGATAATACATGTTATTTTAATAAGATGGACATACTAGCTGTGGCAGCGACTTCGTCTACGTAGTTATTTTAGACATTAAAATTTAACTTAAAATATAGACATATAGTGTTGTGGACATTTTTTAGAACAATTAAAGGTGTTCTTTCGTACATATATTTCGAGCGTCTGGAAAGAACCGTTTCGCTGCGTACGCGTCGGGAAGCCAACGACGATTGATCATTATCCCCGTTTTTCCCAATTTTCCGCTGTTTCCGATGTTTTATAACCTAAAGCTTTCCCTGATAACCATATAGATAAACCAACATAGCAAGATGTTTTCAATTCGAACCAGTAGTTCCAGACATTAGCGCGTTCAAACAAACAAAAAACATTTTATAATCTAAGTATCACTTTCAGCCAAAATGAGCAACACCCAGGCCTAAAATGGTTAACATTAAATAAGTAAGGATTACTATTTTTGTTTTATATATTGTCATACAGGTATTTTTCAATTTACCGGATTTTCTCGCTGCAAAAAAGTCATGCTGCCCATTATTGGATGGGGCGAAGCGAAGGGAACACCTCGGGTTTTCCAGTAGTCCCTCAAATTTATCCATCTTAAGTAAATCCATACTACAACCAACGTCACAACACATAAAACTATATTAATTATCATTTTGTCGCTAAATTTTCCAATCACTGTAACATTGTTAAACGTCGTCCTATCAAGAATGCCCAGAAACAAATGGACAGCATTTAGTTGACTTAATTGTCTTATCAAATAGACCACAAGCTAAGCGTGTGTCGGGCCTCGGCTGTAAAATTCTCAGTCATCATTATACGTGATAAGGCATTTTTTTTATATAATTTAGAAATTGTTGCCATGAACAACAATATAAGTTGCATGATATGAATTAATGCTAAAATGGTGTCTGTTTATAATATTATATTTTTTATAATCCACTTCTTTTCTTTTCAACACGTAAATTTGTTTTTTGTTTTTATCATACAGGCATACATCTCCTTTTTTTCAAACTTACATAGAAAATCGTAACGTAATCTTACCGTTTGTAACAAATATTTGTTTTCATGATTTATCATCGGAACCCTAAAAACAATAAACTAACTATTGTAATTATCTCTATCTGCCCTTTTCACTAATTACTTTATTGGCTTATAGGTCAGTAAACAATATGTGATACACTTAAACATTTGTTAGATTGTTCTAATTTGATAGATTGATCTCTATAATTGTTAAATAATTACATTTAAGACAAACATTTACTTAATTACAAATTAAAAATATTTATTATTCCACCTCATTGAATTTTAAAACCACGGCAATGTTAAATAAACTAATTCCTTGTAAATATTTAAATAATAATAAAACAGTAAACGACAAGACAAATTTTTAATTTTAAAAATATAGCAAATCGCAGGTGCTTGCTAGTTCGCCATAATTTAGAAACTTGATCAGTCCTGAATCATCATTTTTTTTTTATTACAGATGCAATTCCTGCACTACATTTTATAAGGTAACAATACACTACGCTGTTGGTCTTGGGTTTCGATAGGTCATAGTTATTCAATAAGAATCAATTCTTTGATTTGATTTAAATCTCAAATTCAATTTTAATTATTTCTTTAATGACAAAACCACCTAGCAGTAATATGAATTGCTCCTTAGGTTAATAAATTCACAACAATGTATTATAAGACATGTTATAAAAAGCCGGGCTGAGTTTTTTGGATGTTCTCCTCAGTTATGTTGCTCCTTTGAACACTCTGTAGAATCACGACGAACAGGCAGTCAAACAAAAAAAAAATGACGGATAATACTAAATAAAGTATATGTTAGTATCCTTGGATAGACGGGCATTACATGTAAAGTAAAATCAAAGTTCTGAACCACCTAATTACTATATGCTATAGAACTATTTTGGCTTTAGACATTCTCAATTCTAGAAACCAGAGACCTAATTTTCACTATTCTATATGTGGACGGTAGCTCGTGACTTCGACGGAATTTTAAATAACTACCACTGAAATAACGTATAAAATTTTAGTTACCTTATTTAAGTAATAATTAATTGTTTAGATAAAATTCTATGTTCTACTTTTTACCGCTACCTGATATTGAGTTAAAATGACATTGTTGTAAAATACTTAATTCGCAATTATAAAACATAGTCATAAGTTTACTATCCTGGCGTTATTGTGGAACCTTCTTTTGTTTCATCGTGTTATTTTTTATCGTGATCTCAATTACAACGTTTATTCTACTAAATATAATAGTGTGGATGTGTTTAGGACTTTTAACTAATACCCGTAATCTCCGCGTAACACCCTGTTCTTGACTAACAATATGCATACAAGCTTATAGCCCGGCTTCCGCTAATCTACCCGCAAACATTGGGCGGTACAAGTTCTCAACTGCTGCTTGTAATCCCATCCCTTATGAAATTCAATGACATTCTTAATGCTCTTACCATATCACTTTAGCAAACAATAACGTGGTACAAACAAACGCTTGGTGTATATCGCCGTTATTATTTAAACATTGTCGATAAACTTCACTCTTAACGAGCAATGTATGTTTCAGCATCTTAGATAAGCAATGTCTATCGGTTCAGTTTGAATCAGTGTGTGTAAGCATTGTTTTACCATCTGTCGTCTTTGCCGAAGTTCTTGTGAGGATAAGTTTTTTTTTGTTTTGACTAAAGAATAATATTGTAAACATGTGGTCTTTTACATCTAAATAAGTTTTTAGTATCTTATATAATACATACTTAATAGGTATATAAAAGTTTTGGCCTACTGTGTGAGAAAGAGACCGTCTCTGTAGCTAAATGGTTAATATCCTAAGCCAAAAAAGGGCGACTGCGCATCTTGCTAAGATATTATATGGCATAATAGTATTGCGTTTCAGATATTCATTTAAAAATAAACAATTTAATTAATATTTCGAAACGATAAAACACCTTTGTAACAAACTTAGTGGCGCGAGTAAATTAATAGTGTACAACACAATATGTATATCGTATTTTTAAACATCACAGATACGAACAAACGCTTTTCATTCAAAATGACTCAACAGAATCCTTAGCTATGTACTGTATCTTTTGACTATCACGATGTGAATATAATTTTTATATCTAAGAATTCAAAACATGAGATCATTCATTCAACCTTTATATTGACCTACTCGATAAAAACAAAAAATACATTATAACGGCCTTGTTTCTTTCAATCAATAAAGTTTAGTAGTTAACACACTTTTGTGTCTGCTTTACTTATTTTTTTTTTCACAGGCAAGTTTAATGGAGACTATTGAGAAGCTAAAACTGTTAAGTTACGAGAGTTTGAATCGAGAATTACATTATATTGATCAGGATTTTAAAATCTCCAATATAGTAGGTATAATGAAATTAAATTAAATGAACATATTGATTTCATTTAAAAACTGTTATGTGTTAAGTTAGTTAAGTGTACATAACGAACATATTTTTAATGTATAGTACGTTTGCGCGTGATCTCCGTTTAGTAAGCATAACCTTATACCATACGATTTCTGTAAGCCTTTACGTTTTATATTAATATTTAGACTAAATTACATCATGAGCCACATTACACTCCTTGCCAGTACGCCAGGCAAACGGGTATTAATCGAATACATTTACTCGTAACTATTGTTATCAAAATTGAAATGTAAGTTCTTGACGTGAGCACGACTATATGACTGATCTGCAGGGGGCAGACGCCAAAGCTAGACCCACTCTTTCGTACAACCGGATAACAGAATCTGTAAAATACGATCGGCATTTAAACGCAATTTATACAAGCGTAAGTCCAAGTAAGATGAAAGACCACGTTTCCACTTAAAAAATGATCCGCTAGGTTTCATCTAATCGCAGTCATAAAAAATAATGTTTGTGCTTCTTTATTTGTCATCTCATTGTGTTCATTGAATTGTGCTATTCAGGCCAGTGAAAGAGTTCCACCGCAAACTCGTTTGAGAGCGGCCCGCAGGGGTCTTAATTAAATAATAATTAGAATTTTTAAGCGAGACGAGAACTAGTGAATTATTAGTTTAACAACAACTAATTAATATCGGAACTCCGACGTTTTACTTCGGGCATTCGAGTTTTCAACTTTATCTTGGTAATTTCATTTTTGCGTTTCGTTTTTAATTCGACCCGTGTTTGTTATTTAAATAATGGTACAAGAGTTTCCAACAACAATTAATGTATTTGTTAAATAAACTTTAGATTATTAGAAATTGACTAGCTTTGTCAGCGACTTCATCCGCGTAGAATGTTTTTATTTCATTAATAGTCCAAACAACACAAATGGAATTTTTCAATTAGAACCAGTAGTTCCTGAGATTAGCGCGTTCAAACAAACGAACAAATAAGCTCTTTAGCTTCATAATATTAGTAAAGATAACATCAGACTTTTTAGACATTCCTAAATATAATTTGTGTACATTATAAAGTATCAGCTCTACAGAAAAAATGCATGAATATAATAAAATGAAACTTCCTAAATAAAAAATCTCTTTTTGATTGAAAAATTCGATTGTTCGCCAGCAGCATAGTTCGAATCCCAACCCTGCCATGGATGGTTTGACGTCTAAAATGGACGTGAATATTTTTTTTAAGCTTCCATGTGAAACACAGCATCAACGAAAATGAAGGCTTAAAAGATTATCGCTTTTTAGTGAACAATCAATCTCATAGTTTGGTTAATGAAAGTGATTAAATTGTGCCAGATTCTTGAACAAACAGGAATCTATTTATGTGAAAGCTAAACCCGTTTCTCAGTATTGTACTTAACGAGATTGCACAATTATACAAACAGACGCAATCGTGTTTAACTTGCCAAATCTGAAGCAAGATATTAATAAAGTTTCGGGAAATATTTGCATATCGCCATTGTAATTGCTGGCTAAATTTCAACTAAGAAATAGTATGTCGCGCTGGAATTTTATTAAAAAAGCGTTTTAATAAACAGAGCACCGTCGCGGTAAAGGACAATTTATATCGCTCTAAAGCGGACTTATGTAAAAAATTCAATTAAGTTGTATAGGGCAGATGCTACTTCAGGTTATTTGAATATTATGAATATTCAATATTTTTGCCCCTTCAAAGGATTTTTGGGCGGAGTAATTTGGCGCTTTGATATTTTTAATAACATTACACCTTGAGCGGGCTACTTTGGACTTCCAAGAATTCCGTTCATAAACATTTCTAAAGGTTTTGATGTTACAATTCAAATAATTTATAAGCTGTGTTCTCGAAACGCTGTTACTTGAGTTACTTTCCCACAGCAGGCATAGGATAATACATACATTTCCTTATGAGCTGAGCAGATTTTAAAATTCTAAATTTGAATGAATTTTGTCTAACCTGAACGATACAAACTATATAATAATACCATCAAAAAAAGTGAAATTCCGTTTCGCCCTTCTGGGACTTGGGGCGAACACATATCTGTGTCCGTTTCACTGATCCGTTCTCTAACAGGTACTTTTTAGAAACACTTACACTTTAGGCAGACCGAAACAATTGTTTTTTCCCCTGGGATTCGAATCCAGGACCTCTCGCGCTTAACGCTCTAGGCAATACGTTTAACCGTTTGGATACAAAGACGGTCAATAATACCATAATTCTTAAA